ACGTCACTTCTCAGTGAGAGTAGGTTCCACCTTTTCTGCTCCTACTTTAATCAATGCAGGCGTACCTCAAGGTGTAGTCACAGCTCCCCTCCTATTTAACATATATATATCTGATCAACCTTCTTCCCTCCATACGCTTGTCAGTGACTTTGCCAACGATAAATCTATCTTAGCCTCTAGTTCTGATCCTCATCTAGCCTCTAGCTATATTCAGGACCACCTTCACCTTCTCCAAGCCTGGTACAAGGAATGGAGAGTTAAAATGAATGAATCTAAATCGATCCATTGTACTTTTACGCTTCGGCAAGAAGTGTGCCCGACCCTCCTCCTTAACAACCAACCCCTCCCCACTGCCCAATGTGTACGCTACCTTGGAGTCAACATTGACCGTCGACTTACCTGGTCAGCTCACATTAAAAATAAAACTCGAACGCTGAACGATCGTTTTAGTCTTCTTCGGCCGTTCCTAACTTCTAAAAATATTAAACTACCTACTAAATTACTGCTGTATAAACTACTACTCAGGCCCATCTGGTCCTACGGTTTGCAACTATGGGGCTCAGCCAAAGTATCAAATACAAACCGTATACAAAGGTTTCAATCCAAAGTCCTTCGCGTTATCTCCAAAGCTCCCTTCTATGTTTCAAATGATACCCTTCATTCTGACTTCAATTTACCCACCATCACTGAACTAGCCAAGCTAAACTATAAACGATTCAATAACAAGTTGACACATCATTCCAATCCCTTTATTGTCCAACTATCATCTGCAACTATTCCAGGAAATCCCCACAAAAGATTAAAAAGGCAATGGTGTCTAGATTTATAGCGCATCAAATCCAAACGTATCAATATAATATATTATATTATATCACGCGGACGTGTGCCGTGTGCGTGCTGGCATGCAGGTACCGACTACCCGGACACCGGGTACAATTTCACGGCGCAGCCTAAACATAACGATAACGTAATAACTAAGAAATAATAACGTATAGAATATAATATTAATATCTATGATTATAACTTATAATGAACCAATGTTTTGATAGTGGTATTTTCGACCTATAAATATATTTTCCTTTATTATTAAGTTGGTTATTAGTTGATACCTAATAGTTCATTAGTTCAGGCAGTAGGCACTTGACAATTGACTATCGGCCATCGTATATTATTCGAATTGTATTTTATACATTTAACTGTTAAACGGTATGTCTTTACTCTTTTGGTGGTAAATGTGTTTGAAAGGAGGATGCAATTATAATGAAATTAATAATGTATAATATTATAATATGTAATATGTGTTACGGTAAATTACGTTAAATGGAAATTAACGTTATTCGGGATAATCTTTTGCGTTAATCGTTATAAAGAATTAAAACGTTATCCAAGTGTTGCATTGATCGTTGTTTAAAATAGGTATTCACCTATTAAATTTAAAAATAATAACTAATGTGGGTAGGTAATGGCCCGGTTACGTAATATAATATAAACAATTCTAGATTATTTGCATGAAATAAATGTTTCTACGAAACCAATAGACTTTTTAAATAAACAGATTTTAAAATATTGCGTTCTGTGCTATTTTTCGTTCAATCATATTCGATAAAATACGTTTTGCGTTATTTTTCGTTTAATGGTATTATATAAATTACGTTATGCGTTATGTTTTGTTTAATGATATATAATATATTTTGGTAATCGTAATGTTTTGTTTTGCGGTATTTAATTATTTTTGAATATCGCTTTCCATTATAATTACGTAAACAAATTTCAATCATTTTTTTGTCAAATATTACGTTATTTTAACCTGGTTTGAATACAATGCGCCAAGGCGGTGAAGATGGTTCATACTTAAAAGCTTCAGACGATGGAAAATCACTAGTTATTACAAAAATAAATGAAGAACACAATCACAAAATGTCCAGAGCATCTCTCTAATCAAAGAAAAATTACACCCAGAAAATAAGGCACTTGTATTGGAGCATATAGAGTATAGGCCTTAAGGTCAAAAAAAAAATTATTCTGATTCAATAATCACATAATATTCACTGTACGTATAAGAAAAATGATTCTCAGCGAAGACGGTCTGCCAGCCTATAATATTATTATGATTGAAGTAATTTATTTTACTATTTGACATTAATTCTAGGTACTTAAGGTATTAAATTAATTTTTGCTAAAAAATTGCGTTTGAAAATGTCATTGTGTGTATACTGTATACAATATAATAATATCCTTTGAAAGTTTTTCATAAAGAACGCAGTTTTTAATTTTGCTATAAATCAATTTTATTTTATAAGAAATACATTATTAATGGTACATATTATTTCACCATGACTTGAGATTTAAATGTGAAATACGATATCGTGCATATGACCCGCTCTACTCGCTCGACGACATGCAGTGACTCTGTCCATGAAATTATAAATTACGTTTTCACAGACTTGCCCATCGAGTTCACTGATAACTCGTTGAATTTCTTGATTAAGATCGAATAAAGTTCGCGGTTTGCTTGCATAAACCAGTGATTTAATGTAGCTATATTGCTATATTTTATGTAGTTGTATTTAAAGGAAGAATTCACCTGGATTTAAATCACATGACCTTGGTGGCCACTGTTGATCGCCGCTAATGGAAATGAGTCGGCCGTCAAATTTTTCACGAATCAATGCAATTGTGGCCCCAGAAGTGTGACAGGTGGTACCGTCTTGCTGGAACCATATTCCTTCTGTGTCCATGTCATCTAGAATCGGCCAAAGAAAATTTGAAATCATATTTCGATAACGATCTCCATTCACTGTTTCTGCATTTCCACGTTCATCTTCAAAAAAATAAATAAAAAAATAATTTTTAAAAACATGCTTTTCTTAATACTACTTAATAAATGAACGAAAAAGTTGAAAATAAACTTACTTTTAAAACAATTTCTTAATGAAACTTCAAGGTTAACAAGATATTACTAAAAGTGTTTATAAAATGTATTTGTTGAACAATTTTTAAAAATTCTGAATTACAAAAAAAAGAAATGCATGGGGCACTTATGATAACTCCTACGTAAGGGCACTCTACAACTGAATCTTTAGATAAACTTTATTATAAATATTTTAAAGACTATTGATCACACTTCCAATTTTGTAAGAGATATTCCTGACTCATAAGAGCCACGGTTTTAATTGACAGGTCATTATGTATTGTGTAATTCGAAACAAAGGTTGTAGCATTAGTAATTTTCCTAAGAGCAATATTCTGAAATTGTTGAATTTTGTTGTTATTGGACACTTTTATGAAAATAGATAACTTATATACTTATGATAAGTCATACGTAAAGTCACTCTACAACTGAATTTTTATATAAACTTTATGATAAATATTTTAAAGATTATTGATCACACTCACAATTTTGTAAGAGATATTCCTGACTCATAAGAGCCCCATGCATTTCTTTTTTTTGTAATTCAGAATTTTTAAAAATTGTTCAACAAATACATTTTATAAACACTTTTAGTAATATCTTGTTAACCTTGAAGTTTCATTAAGAAATTGTTTTAAAAGTAAGTTTATTTTCAACTTTTTCGTCCATTTATTAAGTAGTATTAAGAAAAGCATGTTTTTAAAAATTATTTTTTTATTTATTTTATTTTCTATTTTTTAGTGATAACTATAAATTAGAAACAAACGATCTTTTGAAAGCATAATATTTATTATTTTCGGTACATTTGAATATTATAATATTATATTTTAATTATCTCAGTTCCCGGCATTCTTTCCATTTCTTCAAGGGCGTCAATATTACATGGTGTTCTTCCCATCAGCTTTGAACAGTCTAATTGTTCAATTCTGAGGCCTTGCAAGGATTTCACTCTGCTAAGAGTAACGTAAGCTTGTCCTTTTGCAAAGAGCCTTGGTCCTAGATAAACAACAGCATGATCGACGGTGGAGCCCTGTAACTTGTGTGCCGTTACTGCCCATGACAAAATTACTGGCAACATTCTACGCTCAGCAGTACCATAACTGCGCATCGCAGGAAACTGAATAGATATGGGCTCTATTTTATGGATACCATCTTTTCCAAAGTCGACGCGAATTGATTTTGGTATACATTCATCATAAAGTGTATAATTCAAAAATGTCTAGTGCAAAAAGAACTGCCTGGCCTTTGAAACCCCACTGTCCATATAAGACATCATACTTAATAATTTTTACAAATATAGTATTATTCTAGACAGTAATCGTTTTTCTGCCTGTGAAAGAAGGTGTATTTCATTTGGTATAATTTTTTTTTGGCTTGGCGATTTTTATCTAATCTTGCCCGTTTAGCTTCTGAGCCCTCGTTTGACCTTCTTTTCTTGATACTTTATACGAGCTCGTTCAAGGCTCCTTTTTCGTTGAGTTGCGGGCTCTTTATACATTATTATTTGTTTAGTATTTTATTATCTATACCCTTTGTCAATCTCTATGTAGGATTTTCTTACTGTTTTAACAATGAAACGCGTTAAAAGTTAAAAGTAATTATTATTATAATAGTTTTAGAACCCATGGAAACCGTTTATAAACAAAATTTCGTACCTGTATATTATTTATTCTTCTTCCTCGGAGATGACTTTGCACACCCGTCATCGCCGACCTGGAAGTCCGGGTCCCAAAATAACAACGGATTATTGTATTGCCTTCCAAGACCTATGTCTATACCAATTTTCAGAATTTTTCATCGTAAATAAGTGCCTCAAATCGAGCGCGCAAGATTTGAAGACAACAGGAATGAAATATTGTGAGTTAAAGAAAAGCATGTAATAATAAAAAGTATGGGCCGATCACTCCACCTGCCCAAAAGCCACACCAAACGGTTACTCGCTGTGGATGCATTTGTTTTTCCATTCTTGCCCTTGGGTTCTTATTTCCCCAAATTCGACAATTTTGTTTATTGACATATCCACTTAAGTGGAAATGTGCCTCGTCACTAAAGATGATTTTTTTCACAAAATCAATAGTTCGTTAATTCGTTAAAATTCTCTTCGTTTAGTATGGTCCGCTGGCCTAAGCTCCTGGGTCAACTGCATCTTATATGCATGCAAGTGTAAATCATTCTTGAGGATTCGTTGCAAAGAGCTTATCCCATTACCTAACTGTTGAGAACAGCGACGGATCGATTTACTCGGACTCACAATGACAGAGTCGTTCACAACAGCGATGTTTTCATTCGTCCTTTTGGATCGTTTGCGCCCAGGGCTTTTAATGTTTGCAGTTGATCCCGTCTCTTCAAATTTACTGACTAACCTCGTTATTGTTGTTGCAGTTGGTGCTTCACGGTATCCGAGGATCGTACGAAGTTTCCTAACAGTTACCGCAGCACACTCACCGTGTTTATAATGGGTTTTAATTAACAAAACACGTTGCTCAATTGTATACCGCTCCATGACGACAAATAAACAAATTTACTATTATTAAACAAAATCACTAAAAACCTCAACGTTCATAGATGACAGAAATAAAATGAATAGTGCCACCAACCTAACAACAAAAAATTACCCAGCATTTTAAAAACTGCGTTATTTATGAAACACCCTATATTTTTAAATTACAAACAAAATAACTAAAATCTAGTAATTCTTGTTTTAAATAATATGTTATTTTGAATTTGATCTTAAAATGTCTGTAAAAATAACTGTGTATATATTTGAATATTGTTAAATGAAGGAAAACTATGGGGAATCATTTACAAATATTTAAAATACAAAGATACACTTACACATTTTTTTAAGAATTTCCAACTCGAAATAAATTGACAATTATCATGTTTAAATGAATCTTGTCAACTTAAGAAGCTCATAAAAAATTTCTGTTGATTTTGGCTCAATTTTTTTTAATTTCCAATAATAACAACTTATGAGGAACGATAAGACTCGAAAGTTTCTTGTGCCTAGAAATATCAAATAGCTCAACAAGAATTGCAATATTTCGAAAATTGTATGGCACATAGAATTACTAATGTTAAAATTCAGTGAAAATGTTATTTATCTACGTATTTTTTTTGAAAACTGGTATTACATATAATCTCAGTTTTTTCTTAATATTTTGTTTGATTTCCTGACGCTTTTGAAAACTGTTGGATATTTTTTTACTTTTGGGCACATTAAAGTACTAACTAGATTCACTTTTCTACTAAAAAAGATGCTGTTGAAGAAAATCGAAGCATTTGTATTGCCCCAAAAGAAGATGATATAATTGTAAAATACATACCTACATTCATCGATCTGATTAGAATCTAATATATAATAGAGTATACAGATTATATAGGTATATTAATTGCAGTTGTATTTTCTTCAACTGCGCGATTCTTAGCTGTGACTTTAATTTTAAAAATTAGAAAACAATTACTGACACTACCTTTGTATGATGCTAATTTATACTATGAAATATGGACTAGAGGCTATTAATATAAACATTAAACATCAAAGAGTTCAAAAATACTGAAGTCATGTCCATAATTATTGATGAAGAAAGTGTTTCCAGTACTAATATAGTTTGTGATCAAACCACACTATATGAAAAGAAAAAGTATTATGTACACATAACAAGTTCCGCAAGGCATCGGTCATAAGGGCAAATATTGATGATGTATTATCTCAGACGTCGAACATTCATTTTCACCTAAAAATTGAACAATTAGAATTTGTATTTAACACTTATATGAAATGGCAAGAATGATCTCAAACTTATCTGGTAAGCATTTATTAACAATATTCATATAATATGTGTTAATTTTATATTAACAAACTATGTATGTGCAGATAATAATGTAGATGTCATTGAAGATAGAGAAGTGGACGAGAATGTGTATCAGGAAAACATATTCCAGATGAAATAGCGTTACCACGGACTAAGATATAATGGACTGGAAACGAAAAGGTGGGCGGGTGGACGGCCTGCAAAAGTTTCCTCTGTCATCGACACACGAGCGGATCAAAACCACCATGATCCATGCACATTATTATCAATTCTCCGTTATAACTATAACTTACAGATAACATTTAATATCTAAAATATAATATTATTTTTCATAAAAAGAGAATTATACTATTAATTTGATAATTTGATTTATTATTTAATATCGAAATTTGATTTACTTATAAACTAAAAACTTAGGTAAATGCATTAAAATTAATTAGAAAAAGTATTATTTATCGAGGCATTTGAATAATTAATACATATTTTTCGGGACATTGACTTTCAAGCCCAAGTAGTAGTTTAAATGTGTATTTACATTGTACACTTTTTTCGTGAACCCCTCTATAAACAAATATTTAGAAGTAGATATCAGTATTTTCTTGAAGAAAAAAACATAGAAAACACGTAAATACGTAAATTTCAAAGTTCCTATCTAAATCTTGTATTTTTTGTCATTAGAATTAATTAGATACAAAATGTTAATGTAACTTGCATCCACCTACAACTAAACAAGGTAGGTACTTGATCATCACTAGTGCCACCTTTTGTCATTAGAATTAATTAGATACAAAATGTTAGTGTAACTTGTATCCACTTACAACTAAACAAGGAACTTGTTCATCACTAAAAGAAACTAATTTTTATTTAATTGTACTTGAATTCATATTTACGAAATACCCCCACCAGTAGGCATTCTACTCAATGTTCGAGATGGTTCCCTAGTTTTTTGTAAATAACTTACTCTGAACAAGTTCCAAGTGTTTTATGTATATCGTCGATATGTCTTCGTAGTATTGTGGTTTAGGAAAATTTTTGTCACATATATGGCAACAGTTTTCACCCTTTTGTTTTGTTTTTTTATCCATATTGCCCAAAAAAAGTTAATAATTATATAAAACAGTACTCAAGGAAATGATAAGAACATCATTCGAAAAATGTTTTGCTATAGAGATAATGGAGAATTGATAATAATGTGCATGGATCAGGGTGGTTTTGATCCGCTCGTATCGACGGCTGCATCCGAGTTCCGTCCCGAGAACCTTTTTTTATACCAATTCCGTCCCTGTTAAAAAAAAGGTATATACCAATTCCGTCCCAGTTAAAAAAGGGTATATACTAATTCCGTCCTTAATAATTTTCATAATTTAGTCGTAATAATTAATATAAAATTGTTGTTATAAAATGCATACAAAAAATATAAGTTTCATATTATTAGTACATTTTCATAAATTAATGGTCATAATATTATATACATTTATAATAATAATTAAAAATTCAGTAAATACTAAATAGTCAAAGTATATATACATATTTAATATTTATAGTCAAAAAACAAAATTAAAAATTCAGTAAATACTAAATAGTCAAAGTATATATACATATTTAATATTTATAGTCTAAAAACAAAATTAAAAATTCAGTAAATACTAAATAGTCAAAGTATATATACATATTTATAGTAAAAAAACATACATTTTTACAAATTTGTAATTGGATTGAATTTATAGGATATTTTTTTTACAAATTCCAATCGTGATATTTGACCTGAACTGTATTCATACATTTTTTCTTTAATAAAATCTTCTTTAGCTAATATGGGTTTTCTTCGTTTTATACTGCTTCTTAATTTGATGTAGGAATCTTGTTGAACATATTTATATGCTTGTTCTGGAAAATATAATGCTTCCGAAGTTGGTTTTGGTATATTTAATATAAATCCTTTTGCATCGGCATTGTATGAATAAAATGCTTCATGTATCACGTCATCGTTTTGTAATGGATTTCTGTAAAAATTAATATATTTAAGTTATTTTTTTAAGATTACGACGTATTATTTTTATTTTTATTTTTTTATTATTATTATTTATTGTCAACCGAACAGATATCAGAAAATAGTTTTTTATATAAAATCTATTATTAACTATAAAAATGCTGTTGTCGCTTAGGCCCCATAAAGTAAAATCCTATGGCGCTTATGCTAACATTTAAAACATTCAGTGTAATTTTCATGTATCTATAGTTATTCGTTTATGAATAACAACAAAATAAGGAAATCGCTCCATGAGAAATCGAGTGGAATATCCAATGTTGTAAAAATTTGAATTTCAAACGCTCATAAAAATTTAATTTGACTGTCCGGTAGAGATTTTTTTATTGATAAAGGTAGACAAACTTATGAGTAATCTTGTATTACATTTTCAAATCTTAGATCTAAAAAGAAAAATTTTTACGAATTCTTAACTCAAAATAATTTGCTAATTTTCGTGATTTTTCCATATTTTGTCAATTTTTGAACTTTAAATGCTTATAAATAAAACTGTGACTAACGATTTTTAATATTTTTCATCTGCCTTTGAAACAATATACTAGGAGCCTTCTATTAAATTTTCAAGTTTTTTTATCCAACAAATAAAATTTTATTGATATTTCTAGAAAAAAAACTAAAAAAAAAATTAAAAATGAAAATGTCCCTAAACAGTTCAAAATAAATCAAAATATTTTGAACATTTTATCGTATATAGAAAATGCAAATGTAAACAACCAGTGAACATTTCATGTATCTACGGTCATTTGTTTTAAAGTTATACCAAAAACCAACTTCAATTTTCTGAAAAATCGATTTTGCGTAAAAATTCCCGTTTTTTCTTAATTTTTCTTTTGTTTTTCTTGGCGCTTTTGAAAAGTACTGCGAATTTTAAATTTTGACCTCTCCAATGCACCAACGATATTCACTTTCGAATCGAACAAGATACTGAAGTTGATAATCGAAGCATTGTTTTGACTACTTATCGTGTCCACAGACACAAAAATAAAAAAAACACACATCATTGTAAAATCAATACATTCATCGTTTCACTCAGAATCCAAAATTAATCGTATCGATAAATGAGTAAGAGCAATCGATAGAGAATGACGTCGCTTATGCCCTAATTACAAAAAGTAGATTTCGCAAAAAGTGTCGCTTATGCCCTTTTGCATTGTCACCATCGATATAGAACGGATAAAAAAAATTTGCCTTTTTTCATAAAACAATACAAAATAAATAATAATAAGTCTTTTTGCAAAATAATAATAGTTAACAAGTACATATTATAATAATAACAACTGTTAGAATAAAAATAAGGTTTGTCTTAGCCTTATGGTATATAGGTACGATACAAAATAAATAATAAGTCTTTTGGTAAAATAATATTGAGGAACAAACGTAAGGTAGTAATAATTATAATTAGTTAAAATTATACATACTTTTATTAAACAGATCAATATAATCTTTGTCATACTTCATTGAGTAACAATTAGTATCTCTTATAGCTGTTTTACTGTGTAGTAAACCAATTCAATTTGATGTATTCAGTCAATTACGTTCTTTAGTTTTCATTAGGTTGATCATAGAAAAGATTCTTTCCACACAGTTGAGTGAGGGAGTGTCATTATATTTTTTATTAAAACCGTCAGGAGAGGAATCATA